AAGGGTATTATGTCAAGCGTTATAAGCCAGGCAGGGAAAGATAAACACCATATGATTTCACTTATTTGTGGAATCTAAAAACAAGACAAAACATAATGAATAAAATAGCAGTAGACTTGTAGACACTGAGAAGTACCCGGTGGTTACAATGGGGGGTGGGTAGTTAGAGTGAGTGGATGGTGTTTGTGAAGGAGATAAAGAGGCACAAAATCTCAATCATATTATATGTTGGTCACAGGGATGGAAGTGAAACACTGAGAATATAGTTAATATTTCAGTAACATCTTTTAATGTTGACAGTAACTGCATTAGTTGGGTGTGAGGATTTAATATGTGTAACTGTTGAATCACTGTGTTGTGTGCATGAAACAAATGAGTAAGTGTATATCAACTGTAGTTCATTAAAAATTAAAGAGAGTGGGAATAGAGCAGAGGTGGAAATCCATCAGGGTTAAAAGAGTTCTGAGCACTTTTTAAAAGGGTCTGAGTCTTTTGGAAAATGAATTTTAAGGCTGTCACTTAAGGGGAAAAATGGGGAAATGTCATCCTGAGAGTCTTCTAAGAGGGAATGAGCATGTAGATCATCCTCCAGAGGGAGTGCCATAGGTGAGTAAGATGACATCATCGCAGGATATCAGTTTTTAATTTTTCCCTAGGACCAAAGGCAATCAGACTTTTGAGCATGTCTCCATGAAAGACAATGGTACAGACACACAGACCAAAAATGAATACATATTTTTATAAGAAAACTTTGTATCTTCAGAGAAATATGAATTGCTAAATCCACAGGACAAATATCATGTGTTATATAAAATGAAGTGTCCTATAACAGCAAATAACTACTAAAACATGAAGAAGATAATAATATATTGAATTCAATGAAAGTTCTGAGAGATGTGTTGGAGAAAATTTACCAGGAAGAAATGATAGCAATGCAAAATAAAAGTTTGCTATTGAGAAAAGAGAATTAGAGAATTCACATAAGATGGTCCAATACCGGCTTATGAGCATATTCCTAAAAATGCATATGTCATTGTATTCATGGAGTGAATCTTACCAAACAAAACATTGTCGCAGACCAGTTATACATGAGCCACATTATTCAAATATGACTTAAAAAACACCAAAAAATAATGAGAAATAATTTCTGAAATAATCATTTCTTGCAGAATCTAAATATTGTCTTCAAATAATTCATTGGTAATTCTCAACATAAAATAAAAAGATAAGATCCTAAAAATATCTTCAGAGAAATTATAGTAATATAATTGAAAGAAATATATGCCATAATGGCCAACGGAATAGTGTCAGGTTTTGCTTTGATGATATATTTTTTCCAGGCAAACAATAAATTCTAAAAAATGGAACAATACCATCAACCCATGGCCACAGATATAAAGTGGGCTGTATTTTTTTTAGAGGATGGCCGGAGGGGAAAGTGTCATGGGGTAATGTACACTCACCAACCACAGTGGGCTGAGTCACAAATAATTGCTAAGTATTTGTGATTTAGGAATGAAGCATTAGAAGATAAGAGAAAAATATTTGAGAAAATTGTAAAAAATCGGGGGAATTTTGTCTTGGGGCTCTCAGGAATGAGTTTAACTCAAACAATGGTGTAAACATAGTTTTACACTGTGTATGGTTAAAGCCATGTCTATGCACGATTTTAATATTAAAGTGACATAGAATTATTTCACAGTAAATAATCTGCATGTACTCATCTTAGTTTACGTGGGATGCTCCAAATAAATTCCAGGAAATTTAAGGACTTGCCTGGGCAATCTGAAAGAACTGGTTTTCAATAATTTTGTGGCTTCTGATAAGTTGCAGAGAACTGTTTGTTTTTTTCATGACATGACATTTGGATACAATATGAAACATACAGGTTAGCTTGATATTGTAGGATTTATCATTAGTTTCAATTGTTAAGTAGATTGAAAATGTAATTTTTGTAATTACCAGTGCCAATAACATTGCACATTATCCCAGTACTCAGTTTATATAGGGTTGCCTATTACAAAGGTTCCATGAGTTAGCTAATCCTACCTCTCTTTAATTATGAAGAAAAGACAACACAAAGCAGAAATAAAGAATGAAAAGTAAGATCGTGTTATGCCCGAATCGTGGCGAGTCCCAAGAACCACCGGAGGACTCAGATAGCATGTAAAAACAGAGAACCTTTATTAAAGCAGAACAAGCTCGAGCTTCGGCACCCAACCAGCCCGACACAGCGGGACTTAGTTCGGGAGCCCCTGTGAATGTTTTAGCAGGATTTTTATACACACAGGAGAGGCAGTTAGGGAGATTCCTTCCAGGCAGAACTGGGATAGGTTGACTTTTAACTAGGGCTAACTTGTTTCAAGCTGATTGGGTTGTTAGAGGGTTGCTATGATTAGTTCCCCTTTTTTCTGTTTGTGTAATGCCTTTCAAGAGGGGGTTTTTCTTAGTAACTGACCTGTGACACTGACTTGTGACACTGATTTGTGACACTGACTTGTGACACTGACTTGGGCTTAGTTTTAGCCTCTTGAGATGGAGTTACTTTGGTCAAGTCTCGCTTAGTTCTCTCAATCTGTCTTTTGATTCCATGTCACATGATGGCCAATACAGCATCATTTTGATTAGCTCTGTTGCTTTCTTCTTATGTACTAACAATTTGTCATGTGATATCATTTGAAGAAGTACTGCATGTGAAAGGGAAGAAACCTCAGCCATTGAATATCTATTTCAAGGTTTAAAGTAAACAGAACATTTTTTCTTAATGTAAAAATAGTTTTCCCTTTTATTTTGTTTTTCTCAAAGATATAACAATAAGTAATCTATTTATATATTATTTGCAAAAGGTTTTCACCTGTCTTGATTTTTTATTAAATTCCACTAAAACTTTGTGTCTTAGACATGAACATTAATGGAAACATATGCAGCAGAAAATAGAAAATCAGATGATTACTTGATGAGTTGGAGAAACAAACCTTGAACTTGTAGAAGCCCATTCATGGAAGAGAAGATAAGTTTATATAACCCTTTATTTACCATCTACACTGGAACCTGTGCATGTGTGGAATCTGACATGTGTCAAAATTTGTGCCAGGATTAACTTTTTTTTAATCCTGACCACTAGATCTCATGGTTGATTTAACATTGTCTAGATGATAAACCGAAATTGGCAGCAGTTAAGAAACTTTTCCTGCTCCCTCTGCTAGTAATTTAGATGCTACATTGATGCATATAGATATTTACATATTAAAACTATCTTTACATAAATATCCCACCTTTGCTCTTAAATTGTTTGAGGTAACAATTCTGAAATCAAATGGTTATAGTTGACTCTCAGAAGTAAAATAAAACAAAAAATTAAAACTGTTAAGATATATATTCATTATAGATGAGTGTTAAGAATTTAAGTTCCTTTAGGCTAAAAAAAAAAAGGTTATGTTTAAATTTAACTCATTTCAAGATCTTCTATTTTCTCTTTTTGCTCCCTTAACCATATCCTCACTTTTTCCTGCAACGATCCACCTCTAATGATGGGTGTACAGAATGCACGCATTGTTCTCAGATCCTTTCCGTGAGCTGCCAAACGTTCTCGCCTGGGTGACATTCATCACAAGGAGACACATGCTCTCCTCTCTGCAAATCAGGCTGCAAATATACATACTGAGAGCATTAAGCAAATCCCTACATCATGATGAGGAAATCCTGTGATTGCTAAGTTTCCAAATGAATTAATATTACTGTCACATACATTTAATATGTATTATTTTCCTTCATAGACATCATTTTTCCATTTGCTTCCAGTTGAAAATAAAAACTGACAAAGCCTTACCATAATGATTCACATAATTACATAATAGATTTTTCAAACTTTTTAATTTTTATAAGGATGGTAAACTGATTCTTATTGATTTGATGTGAATATTTAGGATAGATCTGATGGGATATGCCCTATAATCTGGACAATGGCCAGTTTTCTTCTGAAGCAGTTTTTCCCTATACCACTTTGTTTTTGATCAAAGCTAATCATAGAGATATAGTTTTTCTGATAACTAAGTCAGGCTGTTCATGTTAATTTCAGCCTGTTTATTGACACAGTTGCAGCAAGAGTATGGATTTGCCAAAGTTGAATATATTATAAGCAATCTGAGACTAGACTTTTAAAAGCATATAAATGTAAATTTTTCCACCAAAGTTCACATAATTTGGGTCACTTCCTCTCCTTTCAAGACCTGAAATATCTTAAATAGTCGAACTTTACCGTGAGGAAACTTACTTATTCACCTGTAAGACAGGAGTCTTGTAGTAACATATCATCAGGTCTGCTTTCACAGGAAAAATCTCATTCTGTTGGCTCCTTAAAGTTTATCATAATTCCTTAAAATAGTTTGTCGTACTTGTATCTACATGTCCACAATTATTTTTGCATTGTCATCCATTATTAGGACTTTATAGCATTGTAACTAGATTTCACAGATTCTAAATAAAATGACCCAGAAGAGTGTCCACTGGAGTCTAGAGGAGCTTAGTTCTCCCCAGGACCTTTGCATGGAGTCTGGCATGAGATTCTTCATCCCTTCCAGTGTTTCCATAATGGACTTCACTAAAAAGGGACAAAGAGTTGAGAATTTATAATACTGAATAATGAATTAATGATCTTAGCAAGTATATAAAAAGCATATATTTTTAATTGCTTAGAAAGGTAAAGAGATCAAGAACTATATTTTATTGTGTAAACTGATCTAAAAAACACAGTATTTGTATCTCTTATATCTCTGTGCTTCTGAATATATCTCCATGAAATTCCACAAAAGTAAATCAGCATTGGTTGTGCAGAACATAAGAGAATAGGTGGACAGACATTTTGAGAAATAAATAGAAACTGATCAATATATACTTTGAGATTGGATTCACATTAAAGGCTGGGCCGTTGTGTTTTATTTCACAAGTACACCACAGAGTTTTGGAGTCCAGGATAGAACTAACTCTAGCTCTGCCACTTCTTAGAAACATAACCTTGGATCAGTGAATAGAACATCATCATAGGTTGCAATCAATTGTTTTGCTGTGGATGAACTTTTAAGAAATGATGGTCTAGAATTCCATTTATATTTGCCGCCATTGCTCCAATTCCATTTTGAAGCATTTTGTTCCAGCATACAAGAACCAGAATTGTTCGTCTTTTTCACGACTTTTATCTACCCAAGTCGTCTGAAGACAAAGTCAGAAAGTTTTGGCTGTCTAATTTTGGGTACTGCTTTGGAGGAAGAGGGTCCCTCGGTAACTGCTGGAGTACAGAAGGTACTTTGCAGTCTTGGCCTCTCTCTTTGCATAGTCGTATGCTGTAATCTTTCCATTTCCATTAAACGAGTTATCATGTTCCTTAGAGCCTTCTGCAGGTCCCATTGTGGCTTTCCAATTTTCAGATTTCGAGGGCACTAGTTTGGGCAAGTCCAGAGTGCTGAAAGGAGAAGGAAGGAAATCAGCATATGGAAATACTTCACTTAGTTCCTCAGTGAAAAATTCTTCAACAGTTTCTACTGTTTCTGGTTTTAAGTTCAGGTCCATCTTTTTAAAATAGCTGAGCAAAGTATCATTTGCTTTCTCGTTTTCTGATATATCACTTTCATCAGTTAATTTTTCTTCCACACTGCTGTTGCCATATTTCAAGTTCCAGTTTGGAGCAGATAGAGTTTCACCATGATTGCCTTCTATAGTTGAGCATAAAGTAATGGGTTTCACTTCTGTCCTTAAAAAAGTTTCCCTCACCACAGGGCCAGCAGAGATCACGTGGCATCCAAAGTCCAGGGTAAGAACCAACTTGCTTATTAACTGAAACACTTGTTAGTGAGTGGTGCTCAGTGAAGAGCCTTCACTATTTTTAAATGTTGGGCCGTATATATTCACAATATTGTACAACCATTATCACCATCCATCTCTAGAATATTTTCATCATGCCAAACCAAAGTCTAACTGTATAAACAATAATGCCCCCATTTTCCCCTCCCCTCAGTCCTGCCAAGCACAATTAGCTCTTTCTCTAATACCTCACAGGAGTGGAATCATACAATATTTGTCCTTTTTTGTCATGTTTATTTCACTAGAAAAATGTTCACAAGGTTTTCCCATGGTGTAGCATGCATCAGAATTTCATTCATTTTTAAGGCCAAATACTATTCCATTGTAAGTGTTTACCTATTTATTCACTTTAGGGCATGTAGGCATGTGGGTTGTTTCAAGCTTTTGGTTATTGTGAATTATGCTGTAATAAACGTTGGCGTACAGATACCTTTAATATTTGATTTAAATTTTTTTCTATATACATAGAGGTGGAATTGCTGAATGATACAGTAAGTCTACGTTAAAATTTTAGAGAAATTGTCATGGTCTTTTTCTTTGTCTCCCAGCAGGAATGCATAAAGACTTGAACTTCTCTGCATTCTTGACAGTAGTTGATGTTTCTTTTCTTTTCTTTTTCCTTATTTGTTCTTTGTTTTCTTTTCCTTCTTTTACTTACATAATAGCTTTCGTAACAGGTATGAAGGTTTATTTCATTGCTTTTTTATTTGTATTTACCTAAGGACCAGTGATGTTGCCATCATATCATGTGCTCATTGGCCATTTGTTCATCTTTGGAGGAATGTGTATTTGAATCCTTTACCCATGTTAATTTAGTTGTTTGTTTTTTGTTGTTGAATTTTGGAGTTATTTATGTTATAGATGTATATCCTATATACAAAACATTTTCTTCATTTACATTAGTGGTCTTTTCACTCTAGAGAGGTTGGTTGTCCCTTGATGCAGAAAAATTGTATTTTTGAAAAACTTTTAATAATGCCAACTTTTCTATTTTTTTCTTTTGAAGCCTATAGTTTTGGTTTCCTATCTAAAAAAAAATCACTGACCACTCACTCTAATGACAATTTTCCCCCATGTTTCTTTCAAGAAATTCATGGTTTTAGCTCTTATTTTTAGGTGTTTGATCCATTTTGAGTTAATTTTTGTATATTATATGGCTAATGGTTCAAGTTTATTCTTCCACATGTGAATATTCAGTTTTATCAATAGCATTTGTTGAAAGAACTGTCCTTTCTTCATTAAGTGACCTTTAAACCCTTGTTGAAAATCATTTCATCATCCATGTGAGAGTTTACCTCTGGATTCTCTATTCTATTCAATTGTTTTGTCTTTTTGTAAATACCACACTGTTTTCTTTATTATAGCTTAATAGTTGATGGTTAAAATCAGGAAATGTGTGTCCTCCCACTTTGTTCCTTTTAAAGATTTTGTTTCATGAAGATCTCTTCATGCTGTTAATGTGGTGCATTACATACATTTGTTTTCATATGTTGAACATTTCTGACATCCCAGAAATAAATGTAACTAGGCCATGTGTATGATCCCTTTAATGCGATGTTAATTAATTCTATTCAGTAGTATGTTATGAGGATGTTACATAAAGACTCATATCCAGAACATATTTTCTTATAGCATATTTTTCTTATCTTGCAGTATCCCTTTCTGCCTTTGGTTCTAGGGATATGCTGGTCTAATAGAATGAGTTAGTAAGTCCATCCTCCTTTTTTTGGAAAAGTTTGAGAAGGACTGGTGTTAAGTCATTTTTATGTTTGGCAAAATTAATCAATGAATTCATCTACCAGTGATACTCTTTTATTGAGAGGTTTTAATTACTTATTCTGCTTTTTAATTAATTATAAGTGTACTCAAATTTTGTAATTCTTCATGACCCAGTTTTGGTGTAGCTTTTGTTTATAGGAATTTATCCATTTAAATGAGGTTATCCAATATTTTAATACATGGTTATTCATACTACCATCTGATAATTGCTTTCATTTTTGTAAAATTTATAATAATTTACATACATTAATTTTTGGTTTTAATATTTTGAGGCTTCCCTTTTTTTCTTGGTCAACATAGCTAAAGATCTGATAATTTTCAAAGAACCATATTTTGTGCTGATGGGATTTTTTTCTGCTTTTTTTCTCTATGTAATATTTTATTTAAATTTGTTCTTATAAATATGTATTTCTTCTTTGTGCTAGGTTGAGGTTTACTTTATTTCTTTTTCTATGTCTTTATGCATAAAGTTTGGTTGTTGATTTAAGATATTTCTTATTTTTAATATAAATATTTTAAAACTTCTCTACTTAGCACTGCTTTATATACATTCTGTAAGTTTTATATGTTGGATTTTCTGTTGTTGTTCTCCTATGCCTCTAGGTGGTTTCTTAATTTGCTTTGTGATTTCTTAGACCTCTTGGATTTTAAGAGTGTGTGTTTCATTTCCATGTACTTGTGAGTTTTCTGATTTTTCTTCTACTACTTGTTTTCAATTTTTCTATCACTAATGTACAATTACAAGAGCAACATTATGGTTACTAGACTCCCTCCATTATCAAGTCCCCACCACATACCCCATTACAGTCACTGTCCATCAGCATAGTAAGATGCTATAGAATCACTATTTGTCTTCTTTGTGTTGTACTGCCTTCCCTGTGCTTCCCCACTACATTATGTGTGTTAATAATCATAATGCCCCTTTTCCCCACTTACCCTTCCCTTCCCACCCACCCTCCCCAGTCCCTTTCCCTTTAGTGTTAGTCCATTCTTGGGTTCTGTGAGTCTACTCTTGTTTTGTTCCTTCCACTTTTTCTTTGTTCTTATGCTCCACAGATGAGTGAAATCATCTGATACTTGTCTTTTTCCACCTGGCTTATTTCACTGAGCAGAGTACCCTCTGGTTCCACCCATGTTGTTGCAAATAATAGGATTTGTTTTCTTCTTATGACTGAATAATACTCCATTGTGTATATGTACCACATCTTTCTTTTACTGCTGATCCTAGCTTTATACAGGTTTTATCAGAAAAGATAAACATTTGATTTTGATTTAAACATTTAAATTTATTACACCATACTTTGTGACCAGACATGTATTCTATCCTGAAGACTGCACCATATGAAATTGGGACAGTTGTGTACTCAGATATTGTTTAATGCAATGTTCAGTATATTTCTGTTAAGTCCAATTGGTTTACTAGTTTTCCAAGTTCATTATTTTCCTATTGCTATTATACCTGGTGGTTCTAACCATTATTGAAAGAGGGATATTGAAATCTCCAACAATTATTGTAAAGCTACTATCCATTCTTGCAAGATTTGCTTCCTATATTTGGGATATCTGATGTTTTGTGTATATAAGTTTGTAATTGTTAAATCTTCTTAATCAATTGCAGTTTAATTGGTATACAATGTTCTTGTTTTACAAATTTCTGACTTAAATTCTACTTTGTTATTAGTATTAATATTAATATTATTTTGTCCAGTGTTGTCTGATAATTATATGGTATTAGTATTTGTCTAAACTGTAGCCAAAATTAGCCCACCTCATTCTCTGGCTACATTTGCAGGGATTTTCTTTCTTACATCCTTTTACTTTCAAGCTATTTATGATCTCATCTATACAAAGTGAATCTCTAACAGATAGTAGTCAGTGACATTTCTATAAAATCCATTTACCAATCTATACTCTTGATTAGGATTTTCAATCCACTTACAGTTAGAGTAGTTATTGATGAAGAATAAATATCTTTGCCATTTTCTATTTCTTTATGTATATCTAATTATTTTTTATTCTTATACTCCCTAGTACCGCCTTTCATTGTATTTAGTTGATTTGATTTCATTGTGAAATGCTTTGATCCCCTTTTATCACCTTTTGCATCTCTTCTCTAGGGTTTTTATTTATAGTTACCATGGTGATTACATATAATATCTTAGAAGTTTAATGACTTAATTTGTATTAATACTTACAGAAGTATTACTTACATACAGAAATTCTACTTCTATACAGGACTGAGACACTTAAGATTATTGATATCACAAATTAATTTTTATATCTTGTGTATTAATACTATTTTTATACATTTGTCTTTAAATATTTAGTGAATTAAAGTATTTATAAATCAGTATGATAGTACTATTTATTTTTATATTTTCCTATGTATATAACTTGCTAAAGATCTTTAAATTTCTACACCACTCCAAGTTACAGTCTATCATCATTTCATTTAAACCTGAAGGACTCTCTTTGCCAGTTTTTGTAGAAGGCCAGTAATGATAAATTTTCTTTGGTTTTGTTATGAGACTGTCTTTGGGTGTCTCCTTTTAAAAAGGAAACACTGTCCAGATATAACATTCTCATTTCCCATAAATATTTTTTCCACCATATTGAATATATTATCTCACAGTGCTCCGTTCTCCAAGGATTATGCTAAAAAATCAGCAAGTATTCTTATTGGCAAGTACTTATTTGTACATGGGAAGTAACTTATTTCTGTCTTCAATATTATCTCTTTGTTTTGACAGTTTACTTAAATGTGTCTATTTGTGAGTCTGTGTTTATCCCTTTTTGGATTTATTTAGTTTCTTGGATTGTATATTAAAATCTTTCTCAAAGTTTGTGAATTTATGTCATTTTTCATTCAGATAATCTCCAAGCATCTTTCACTCCCATCTCCTTCTGGGACTCCCATAATAAATCTTCTATTTCAATTTGTAAGGGCCACATATACCTTTGGCTATGTTCACTTTTCCTCATTCTATTTTCTTTCTCATGATTAAACTCTCAAATTACGATTTGCCTGTTTGCACTTTCATTATTTTTATATGAATATAAAGCTTTGTTAAAAGCTTCTGTTGAGTATTTCAAGTGAATTTCTCATTTTTTCCAAATCTTCAGTGTGAAAATTACTGTTTTTCTATTTTTAGACTTTTCAACTTTTTATATTCTCATTTTGTTTATATAAAATATCTTAAAACATTATTTCTATTTTCTGTTAAATATTTGACACAGTAAATTTTGTTAAGTATTTCCAATTTCTGAGATTCCTCAGGAACAGGTTATCCCAGTGTACTTTCTTTTCATGAGTAGACTATGTTTTCCTGTTTCTATGTAAACTATGTGATTATTTTTGCCGAAAACTGGGCATTTGAAATAAAACTCACTTCTCCCAATTTATGCAGACTGGCTGTCTATTATGACAGTCCTTCACTACAATGGGGCTGATTTCAGTTTAGGGAATAATCCAGCCAATATCCAAAGCCTTCTGAGATTTTTCTAAGCATGTATCTTTCCTTAGAACTATGGAAAATTCTAAATTTTTCATTATATATGACTGCTCTGAAATGATTTATATGCCATAGGACCCCATCTAATTTTTTCCTGAGGTATTAGTCTACCACTGGACTCTATTTCAGTCTATTGCTGCAGTCATCTCTGTGTCTTCAGTGTCTCTGAAGATTCCCTGAGAAGTATCTATATTTCCTCTTTAGATGTGATTTAAGTGGAACCTAAACCAGTGCTCAAGGTTGCTGCAAGAGAATTTAGATGTTTGTATGTAAGGTCTGCTTAGTTACCTGTTGTTTGAGAGAAGAACCTGAACATTTAGCTGCTGCTTGTTCCAGCCCAGGGCTAAATGTCAGGTAGCAGCAGCAGGAATGTGTGGAAAGCGGTGAATAAAATTGCCACTATTGCTTGATTAGACATTCACTTGGTTGTCATGGACCTTTGAGTGTTT